AACAACAACAACAACTGATTACTCAAGGGAAGAAGCCCAGCCTAAAGAGTGAAAGCAGAGGACCAGTTTTAAATCCTTCCTCAAGCACTTTCTAGCTACTGGAGTTTAGGTGCATTACTCAATCTCCCTGAGACTCAGTTTGATCATCAGGCTTTTGTTGGGGGAGATTAAATGAGATGATATATTTAATATTTTTGGCAGAATTTTTTGGCTTGGAAGAAACAAAATCTGTTTCTGTCAAGTCTTTTCAGACTCATGGTGACTCCACATGTGTCAGAGTAGAACTGTGCTCCAGAGGGTCTTCAATGGCTGATATTTTGGAATTAGATCACAGGTACCTCTGGGTGGATTCACACTTCCAATACCAAGTGGTACAAACCACTTGTACCACTTGGGGTTAGAAGTGTGAATGTATTAACCACTTGCACCACTTGGGGATGCCTGTTGGTATACAATAAGTGATAAAAGTTAATATTATTAACTCAAACCTTCTACCCATAGTTGTACTGTTGAGTTGGTTCTGACTCAAAGTGACCCTGTGTCAGGTTTCTGAGGCTGTAAATCTTTATGGAAACAGAAAGCCTCATCTTTCTCTGATGGAGCAGCTGGTAGATTTGTGCTGTTGACCTTGCGGTTAGCAACCCAATGAACAACCTACTATGAGGACTCCTTCCCAAAGTGGTAATTTTCATAAATCCTGAGGAATGCTTGCATTCAAAAGCACTGAATCGTGCCAGCATCTGGAACTTCCAGTACCAGAAAGGCAACTTATTTTATTATTGGACAGTTTTCATCATTAGAAAGTTCTCTAATTCAACACAGTAGCCTTGACTATTTCAGTGGTATCAAGCAGAACAGCACCAAGTAGGGAAGGGGAGGAAATGGATATTTAGGAGACACTAGGTAGGCACAAGACACATGATGGGTGTTTTATATGATCAATAAACCCAGAGGTCCAAAGCTCTAGGAGATTATGGTAAGGAGTAAATACATTGTTATTGTTGTTGTTGTTGTTAAGTGCCGTCGAGTCGGTTCCGACCCATAGCGACCCTGTACAGGGTTTCCGAGGGTGTAAATCTTTACGGGAGTAGAAAGCCTCATCTTTCTCCGGTGGAGCGGCTGGTAGTTTCGAACCACTGACCTTAAGGTTCACAGCCCAATTCATAACCACTACGCTACCAGAGCTCCTTTGTTATTAATAGGTGATTTTTCCTTTCAGTATCTTTGAGTCTCTATTGTTTCTCTACATGTTAATGGAGGAAAAAAAAAAAAATGGGTTCATCACTAAAGGAAGACACCATCATAAAGGTCTTTAATGGTACAAAATATAGAGATTCAAATAAGAGTAATGGGCTTTAGTATATTGCAGATCTTATTTTAATAAAACATAACCATACTTGCTTTTCTTATTCATCTCTACTTGCTTGGTCCCAACTTTCTTGTGTCCTGGTGGTGAAGAGTCAAAAGAGTGACTCACCTTCCCTTGGAAGAGTTTAGCTGCCTTCTGGTATCTGTGCATGTTTTCTTCATATCCTTGGGAGGCCTTGCTGATTATCAGGAGAAGATGAATTGGAACCAAACTGTTGAATAGGCCAATCACAGTCTGGTGAATTGAAATGTGTTACCAGGAGAGAGAGAGAGAAGAAACTTTACTGGCAACTCAGTGAATAGGGATACTGAAATACAAATGAGAGCTTCTATCCTTAACATGAATGGTAATCAGCCTCCAAGAAGACTCTCCATACATTTCACCCTCTGGCTTTCTTATCGCAGTGTAGTTCTCTTGCACATAAACAGGCTGATCTAAGCAACTAAGAGGATATTTCAAATAAATGGAGTATGGCTAGGTGGTCACACTAATAATTGTTGTTGCTAAATGCCCTGAGTTGATTTCTGTTCATAGTGACCCTGTACAGAATTTCTGAGGCTTTCAATCTTTTCCAGGCCCAGAAAGCCCCTTCTTTCTCTGGCGTGCGACTGGTGAGTATGAACCCCTTAGACTGTGGTTCACAGTCTAGTGCTTATCCTACAGAGCCACCATGCTCCAGGCTAGTAATTGCTGTTGCTGTTGTTAAGTGTTGTCAAGTTAGTTCCAACTCATAGTGATCCTTATAGATTTTTTGAGGAGTGGCTGTTGGGTTTGAACTGCCAGCCTTGGGTTATCAGCTCAGTGTTTTTCCTACAGCACCGTACCAGAACTCCACACTAGTAATACAAGGTAGCAAAAGATACCATGCTTTGCTCTTTCTTGTATCTCTGACTTTGGGAAAAGCTAGCTCCAGTGTAGGGCACTCAAACAGCCCTATGGAACTATGTACCCATTAGCAATATACTAAGGCATCATCGCACTAACAGTTAACAGTGGCTTGCCAGCTACATGAGTGAGTCATCTTGGAAGTAACCTTTCCAGCTCCAGTCAAGTCTTTGGATGCATCCCTGGCCAACATGGTAACTGCAAGTTCTTGAGACATTTCAGGCGAGAAACACCAAGCTAAGCCACTCCGGAATTTTGACTCTCAGAAAATGTTTTAAGTTTCTTCTTGAAACTCTACAGAGAGCCTCAGTCTCCACTCACCACAGGGCCCAACATATAGGCAAGTCAGTTGCCAGTTACTTTCCATCGAGTTCCCCTGGAGTTCTTCAATTTTAAATTTGAGAGACCCAAATTCACTGCCATAGAGTCAATTCTGACTTATAACAACCCTACAGAACAGAGTAGAACTGCCACACAAGGCTTCCAAGACTAAATCTTTACGGGATCACATTGCCACATCTTTCTTCCACCAAGTTTGAACCACCTACCTTTCATTTAGCAGTCAGATGCTAGACCATAATGCCACCAGGGCTCAGGTATAGGAGATTGGATGGTCACTAACTGACTCTTGTGTTACTAGATCCTGTTGCTTAAAGTAGTCCTGGTGGAGCAGTGGTTGAATTGCTCAGCTGCCAACCAAAAGGTTGGCAGTTTGAATCCACCACACAAGAAATATGGGGCAGTTTGCTTCCATAAAGATTTACAGCTTTGGAAACCTTGAGTTCTATATTGTCCTATAGGTTGCTATGAGTTGGAATCGATTTGATGGCAGTAGGTTTGGTTTGGGGCTTTATTACCTAAAGTTAGAATGTTTGTCTACCTTTCTAGAGCACAGGTACATTTTCAGGAAGAGGCTGAAATTGGAGCTAAAACTCAAAAGGTACAATTCTCTTAGCAGAAGGGATTGGGCATAGCAAAACAGATTAGTTTAATCCTAACAGACATAGCCTGATTCTATGCTTTGAAGCCACGTACTGCAAGGAGCTCTGGTAGCGTAGAGGCTACGAGTCAGGCTGCCAACCGCAAGGTCAGCAGTTCGAAACTACCAGTGGTTTGCGGGAGAAAGATGAAGCATTCTGCTCCCGTAAAGATTTACAGCCTCAGAAACCCTGTACAGGGTCGCTATGAGTCGGAACCAACTCCACGGCACATAGCAACAACAACAACAACTGAGTGTGTGCATTAAAACAGCATAACAGGCCAAGTACAGGGCTTTGGTTTTCTGCCCAGTTGTATCAGCAAGAGCCTCTGCATCAACAACAGACGGGCAATAGCTGTAGTAGTTTGAAAAAAAAAGAAAAAAATCCGTACTATGGGGAGATGAAAAAGTTACAATCAGAATTCTATAAGGAGATTCTTACCAAATATCCTCTTGACATGATTTCACTTCACTACTAATGTTGAAGTTAAAAAAAAAAAATCATTATCCTATCAGATAAGACATGAGAAGATGGATAAGACATGGGAACTTGGACAAGTCATGGGAACTCAGGAAAGGTCAGTCCTTGTCCTCCTTGCCTTCGTTAGTGAATAGCACTCTAGGACATCAGAGCTATAAATCCAGGGAACATGAGATCATCTTTTCTGGTCCCACGTACACGTCTGACAGCTCCATAGATACAAAGCCCAGGATGAGACTGATCTAAGAGAAGAATCATTTTAGATAGTTACTGCCAGCATCTTGGAAGCATATGTGGTGGATTGTTAGTGAAAGTGAAAATGGAGTCACTTCTCCACAGAGACAAACATGTTGTGAAAGTTGGGCAGGATTTCAGTCAACAGGAAAAGTGGTGTGCTCTATTGGAGGCCATGTCGGGCAGTGGAAAAACCGCAGGATTCAGTCAGACCCACGAGTCATGAAAAATAGGAAAAAAAATTTTTTTTAAAGCAGGGCAAATGAATAGGGCTGTCTCTGAAGTTCAAAATGTTAATAGCTATATGACCTTGAGAAAGTTCATTTTTTTTGAACTTCCATTTCTTCTTCTGTAAAATGGAAACAGACAGTGTATACAAATGCATCATCAGTTAGATTTTCTGCTTTCAGTCATGAAATCTCAGTGTACTCACTGTGCAACCTTGAATAAGTCACTTGTCTCTTGAGTTCCATAAAATGGGTATAATCATCTTTTCTATCTCAAAACACTGATGTGAAGATTCAATGGGAGAATGAGGGTGAATGTGCTTTGAGGTTCTAAATACCATGAAAGGCAGATAAAGTGCTGTTATTGGAGATTGCATGGCATTTCTGAACTGACATAGATTACTAGAAATCAGTACTCTAGCACTCTATGATCTATGTCAGGGAAAATAAAAGGTAGGGCATATAAGATAAAGATATAAACTGTGTTAGAAAACAAAACAAAAAAATGTTTGGTATTGATGTCCCCTTCACCCAGGCATCTCAATAAAGACCAGTTGTTCTCCAGTCAGTTCTGACTCTTTGTGACCTCATGTGTGTCAGAGTAAAACTGCTCTGTAGGCTCTGCAAAGGTTGAATGCTTGTAAGTAGATTGCCAGGACTTTCTTCTGGGTTGCCTTTGGGTAGATTTGAATCCACAAGCTTTCAGTTAGTAGACGTGTATGTTAACTCTTGCATCACCCATGGACTCCTACCTAGGTACAGCAGCATGTAAAACCAGAGGAAGACAAAACTGGAAAGAAGGCAGAGGCATCCAAAGGGGCCAGGAACTTGCTAGTCTAAGTATGGTTTGCAGGCAGAGCCAGACCAAGATCTGCTTGTCCACAATGAGATAGACACAGAAAGTGAGATAGATGTTTAGAAACGAATAGAATTTTGGCACTGTTGTAACATCCAAGTAGGTGATCAGTGGGCTTATATTTTAGATATATGTACTAATTTATTTTTATTGCATTTTATAAAAGTATCACCTTCAACATAGATTGAAATCTAATTAGAGAAGCCTGATGCTGCTCAAGCAAAGTTATCTTCATGGTGCAAACTCCAGCAGTAAAATCCTGACCTTTTGGAATCAGCCACCTTAACGTTGGATCACAGTTCTCTTTCTTACTTGTCATGTGATAGGCAATTTAAATGGTCTGAATCTTTGTTTCCTTCTTTGCTGAATAGGGATAAGTCTATCAATCTTAAAGGGCTAATGTAAGAAGCATAACATAAGCAATATGTTCAAATGACATGTTCAATTAATGGCAGCTACTATCACTAGGAACTTGTGCTATGGCACTGCAGGATAAGCACTAGACTGCGAACCACAAGGTCAGCAGTTCAAACCCACCAGCTGATCCCTGGAAATCCTATACAGAGTCGCTATGAGTCAGAACTGACTGGATCACACTTAACAACAACTGTCACTATTGATCAAAGAATCAGAACTACTCTAGAAAAGGATTTCTGAGATGAAGATAAGTACATTTCCTGGTACAGAGACTTAAAAGGGCTAAAGACAGGGACTGTTATTTACCACAGGGTTGTACTCTGTCACCAAATGGAGGTTGTTGATTTCAATAAAACGTCTTAATTTGGTCTCATCAATGCTTTCAATGGCTTCGTTGTTTAAATCCAACTGTTCATTATCCACCTGAGTAAACAAAAGAGACAAAGTAGTCACACTTAGGGATTTATTTATTCATTGAAAATTACTTCTAGACAATCTACTACATACCAGACTCTGACTAAAACTCCATAGACAGAAAGATAAACAAGAAATGCTCCTACCTTCGAGAAACACACTTTCTTGTGGGATATATGAAATGAACACTAATGTCCCATATAGCATGGCAAAGGTTATCAGGGGGAATCACAGGCTGATATATCACCTAAGGAAGAGCTGAAGAGTTCCCAGAAGGAGGTAACTCCTAATAAATGGCTAAGAGTTGGTCAGATGAATGAGAATGGGAAGAAAGTTTGAAAAAAATAAAAAAAGTATTTGCAAAGGCCAAAGATATGTGTGAGAGGTCATGTTCTAGACCTGTAATTAGTTCACTGAGACTACAGTAGAAGGTGCTGCTGAGTGGTGAGAGAGAAAAGGATACTGAGTTAAGCGGGAGTAAACTCTCAAAGGACCTTGAAGCCAATGGAAGGACACAATTCTAACTTGAAGGAAAGGGGAGCCATTAACATGATCCAATTTATGCTTTATTTCCATAATCTGTCAATGTGAAAGAAAACACATATATAGGAGAAAAAAGGGGGGCACAAGACAGAAAATATAAATATCAGTAACTTGTTGTTATTAGGTGCCACTGATTCAGTACCACTCAT